GAAAACAGGATATAGACATAAATAAATAACTAGCTACAATTAACAACAAGTGCCGTGATCAAATAAAAGAGGCTAGTTTTAAAAATACAGTCTGCATAAGGAAATCCTGACCCTACGTATTTTGGAGGTGAAGCCTGTCCTGTCAATCTCCAAGCATTTTAAATTATGGGCACTGCTGAACTGGGTAGCTTCTACCAGGGGTGGGTTTCAGGCGGTTCGCGGCGGGCCCCGCGAACCGGGTGGTCGGCGAACCCGGAAGTAAGTAACTTCTGAGAACGCCGAAGGGGCCACCCGCCCGCCCGCGTTTCTTACCTGGTTTTGACGGGTTCTGCGCTTCCACGCATGCGCAGGATGCATACAGTGCCTGCGCGATCCTCCAGGAGCAGCTGGAGCATCGCACAGACGCTAGTACACATGCGTGCACTGCGCGTGTGCACGAGGACGCCACCGGCCCCATTCCAACCAAATTGGTTGGAACGAGGCGAGAAACCCACCCCTGGCTTCTACTCTAATTATTTCAAAAGCCATATTATATAAAATATCACATTAGCACACAAGGAGATAAGATGATGTTATGTGTCTAATCTCAAATGCCAACTTCCAGATATTTTTTGCTGAAGTACAATACAACAAGATGTTGAGTCCAGAAAGCTGTTTAACCCATTTTTATTTGTCCATGCTCAGGTGCCTGATGGAGCCACTGTTGCCCTAGTCCCTCGTATGACCAAACACCTTCCCAGGGAGAATCAGGATTACATCCCTGGAGAGAGTGAGTGACCAACTCTTATTTGGCTATTAGGGAAAAAGCAGCTTGGGTCGACTGAATGGACAAAGGAACAAAAATGGACGGAAAGTTAATTACCAAACCAGTTTGGAGTAGCAGCTTAATTTAAGAAGATGGGGGGGGGGGGATGGTCAATTGAGAAATTTAGCAACTGCCATCTGATGATCTATTGCCAATCATCCAGAGTGGTCTTACGCTGGCTTGTGTTTTAGAAACTCCAATGCTGGAGGATGCAGATGAGGGTGGCATGAAGCTTTGGCACCTGGTGAAATCGACCGAGGAACCTGAGCTGCCTAAACATCGGCGAGGGAGCCTGCGGGAACGGGAGAGAGCCAAAGCGATTCCAGAGATCTATCTAACGCGCCTCCTTTCCATGAAGGTAAGAAGGGATCCAGTCTTCAGTTTGGCTCTATTTATTCCCAACAATTCTTTCAGGCTTTATGTCCCTGGATGCAATCTTGGGAGGAAGCCCTGTTGAAAGAATAATGCTTTCTCCTGAACAAACGTGCACAACTGCGGGTCTAGTTTCCTTGACTTGATCTCATGGACAATGTTGTTTACTAAGAATTTAATTGGAAGGCAAATTAGAACCAGCAGTGGGTTTCTCTTTTTGTTATCACCAGTTCGCCGCACATGCGCCCCAGGGGTGGATTCCTGCTGGCATTACTACCGGTTCAGCATGCAAAAAAATTTGCGCACACATGCTTCACTCACGCACACACTAGATGCGCATGCGCATTTGCACCTAAAAAGGTCTGTGCATGCGTACAATGTTAGAAAAGTACATTTTTGCAATGAAGATTGTTCTGCCCATGTGCAGAACAGAAAATCAAGATGACGGCTACAAGGTTTGGGCGCATGTCCAGCCAAGTTACCGGTCCAAACCAGTAGGAACCCTCCTCCAATGCGCCCAGCCTTCTGCGCATGCACGTGCTTATGCGTATGCCTTCCGCACATGCAGCCAGCCTCAAACACATGCCTAAACAGGATGGCATACAGCCGGGGTGGGTGGGCTAGCCCACCTGTGATTTCTGCTACCAGTTCAGGCGAACTAGTCCAAACCGGCTGAATACCCCCTCTGATTAGAACAGATAAAAGGATACATTTCAACACATCAGGCATATGGGATTCTTTGACACAAGGTGTAATAACGTTAGGATTGCTGAGAAGTTATCCAATACAATATACTTCTAAGGGGGCTCCATAGGAAAAGGTATTTAAGGTAGATGCAATTTTTGCTTTCCAACTCTGTGATAGAAAGATTTCTTTATTAGTGAAGATTAAGAGAAACAGCAACAAATAATTTGGCATAAGAGATCCTGTAAAAAAAAATCATGTAGGAAATGACCTGCTGTTTTTTTCTTCTCTTCTTGATCTATTCCAGGGGTCTCCAAACTTGGCAGACAGGTGGACCTTAACGCCCAGAATTCCCTAGCCAGCATGGCCGGCTGAGGAATTTTGGGCGTTGAAATCCACAAGTCTTAAAGTTTCCACATTTGAGGACCCCTGATCTATCAGGATTCTCTAGCCCACAGAATTTGTGATTCCCTTAGCTGGTTTTCCTTAGATCAGAACTACATGGTAGGATCACCTTTCCCATTTTGACATATAATGGGAGAATCCGTAACATCCGTTGGCTGTAAATTTATCCTGAACTTTCCTTCAAGGTTTTTATTGCTCTTGTATTTGTTGCCCCCCCCCCCCCCCCCCCCCCCCCCCCCCCCCCCCCCCCCCCCCCCCCCCCCCCCCCCCCCCCCCCCCCCCCCCCCCCCCCCCAAGAGAACTGTGCCATAACTTGGTCCGATTTGTGCTGTGTTTGCTTGTAGGGCACACTACAGAAATTTGTAGACGATTTATTCCAAGTGATCCTCAGTACCAATCGTCCTGTCCCTCTGGCTGTGAAATATTTTTTTGACCTGCTAGATGAGCAAGCACTGAATCATGGGATCACAGATCCAGAAACCATCCACATCTGGAAAACAAATAGGTAGGCCACCAAATCTACTGGAAGCCGCTTCTCAAAAGCTGAATGTCTTCATTGTGCTATTTATTGGTTTGCTCTTCATTTCCCCACAGAAGATAATAACCTCGCAAAACTCTGCTGATGCCCAGCCCAATATTATCTCTGTGATATTAATAATCCTATGTTACAGTTAGGGTATATTGCACTGAGAAAATTATGGACCAGCCTAGATGGGACGGTGAATATGGCACCAGTGGGAGGGGGTTTATCTATAAGACAAAATAATTATAAATTTTGTAGGCACTGCAGTTGGAGAACAATAGGGTAAACCACACGGTTTCATATTTATAGGCTTAGTTAAGCATCCTATAAATTGCACTACAGAAATACTTCACATCATGAAACTGGCATGTTTTGCACGTACATTGATAGTGTAACTGACACTTAATTCGCTGGTTGACTCATGTGCCCAGGGCATTTCATTTGTAGACAGCTCCAAACAGCCCCGACAATATGGTGACCTGGGCCTCATGGCATCATTGCACAAATGGCTTGGTTGCGTAATGATGTTTACAGTATACGTTTGATCGTTGTAAAATGGGTCAGCATCATGACCGACCCAATTTTAGATTTTTTGCAAGTTATTAAGCACAAACTATGCAGTTGTCAAAAGGCCTCTGTGGTTGTTAAGCAAACACAGCAGTTGTTAAGCAAATCCATGGTTCACTATTGGGCAACCAAAGGTGCTTTTTTCCCCCAAGAGGCAACTGAACTTTCTTGGTTTTTCTTTGAAGGCCTTTCACTTCTCATCCAAGAAGCTTCTTCAGCTCTGACTGGATTGTGGGGAATGGAAGGATTCAGCATCCAGTCAGAGCTGAAGAAGCTTCTTGGATGAGAAGTGAAAGGTCTTCAAACCAGAAGGTCCGGTTGCCTCTTGAAAAAGCACCTTTGGGACAACCATTTTTTTATTTTTATTTATTTTGTCAAGCATGTATTAGATAACATATATATGTATAACCATGGTTTTGGATACATGAAATGTATACAAATAAAAAGAAACATTAGGACAGGGATGGTAGGTATTTTCGTGCGCTTATGCACGCTCCTTACAGACCTCTTAGGAAGGGAGTGAGGTCAACAGTAGACAGTCTAAGGTTAAAGTTTTGGGAGTTTGGGGAAGAAACCAGAGTCAGGCAGTGCATTCCAGCATTGACCACTCTGTTGCTACAATCACATTTGGAGCGGTTTATCATAAGCTTGTATCTCTTGTGTGCTCCTATATTGTTGCGGTTGAAGCTGAAGTAGTCATTGACAGGTAGGACATTGTAGTACATAATTCTATGTACTACACTCAGGTCAGACCGAAGGTGGCATAGTTCTAAGTTGTCCAAGCCCAAAATTTCAAGCCTGGTGGCGTAAGGTATTCTGTTGCTAGCAGAGGAGTGGAGGACTCTTCTTGTGAAATATCACTGGACTCGCTCAATTGTGTTAATGTCCGATATGCAGTGTGGGTTCCAGACAGATGAACTGTATTCGAGAATTGGTCAAGCAAAGGTTTTGTATGACCTGGGTGATTGGGAATCTCCAAAGAAATCCACTATTGGGCACTTCCCCCCCCCCAAAAAAAAAACCCAGAAGTTGTAAGTCGAGAACGACATTTACGTAATTGATATCATTTGTGTCATGATGTTGTCGTGAATGTGTCATTTGCCAGCCTTTGCATGTTAACAGTCCTGACGAGTGCTCTCGACTGAGCCTTATTTTCTTCCTGCAGTCTGCCTTTAAGGTTCTGGATCAACATCATCAAGAACCCCCAGTTTGTGTTTGATGTGCAAACGTCAGATAATGTGGACGCTGTGCTCTTGGTCATTGCTCAGACTTTCATGGACTCCTGCACCCTTGCTGACCACAAACTGGGTCGGGTAAGCCTGGAAAAATGCAGCTGAGAATGAATGTGAAGAGAATCTGGAAGCCATGTCCCCCAAATGGTTATTTCCTGGTGCAAGAGGTGTGTGACAGGGTATCTAGGTTTTTGGATCTAGGCTACATAAACAGAGGGATAGAATCAAGATCACGTGAAGAGTTAATACCACTTTATAAGGCCTTGGTAAGGCCACACTTAGAATACTGCATTCAGTTTTGGTTGCCATGATGTAGAAAAGATGTGGAGACTCTAGAAAGAGTGCAGAGAAGAGCAACGAAGATGATTAGGGGACTGGAGACTAAAACCTATGAAGAACGGTTGCAGGAACTGGGTATGTCTAGTTTAATGAAAAGAAGGACTAGGGGAGGCATGATAGCAGTGATCCAATATCTCAGCGGTTGCCACAGAGAAGAGGGAATCAAGCTATTCTCCAAAGCACCTGAGGACAGAACAAAGAAGCAATGTGTGGAAACTAATCAAGAGAAGCAACTTAGAACTGAGGAGAAATTTCTGGACATTAGAACCACTAATCAGTGGAGAACAACTTGCCTCCAGAAGTTGTGAATGTTCCAACACTGGAGGTTTATAAGAAGAGATAGGACAACTATTTGTTTGAAATAGAATAGTGTTTCCTGCCTGAGCAGGGGGTTGGATTAGAAGACATCTAAGGTCTCTTCCAACTCTATTACTCTACTCTACTCTACTGTATTGTTTTTCTCTCAGCTGGCTGCTTCGATGATTTGATCTATATTCTGGCAAGAACTCAAAGGAGCTATAGTTAATATGATAATGATATGATATAATAAACTAATAATAATATAATATAATAAACAAGAACTCAACAGCACTTTCTCTTGCAGTTATATTGTCTCCTGGTATAGAAGTCACAGGAATTTCTTAAAGGGAAGATGCTACTTTATGAGCATTAGTGTAACTTGTCATATGAGATGTGGTTGCTGCATTATCATGGATATCTCTTAGCTAATTCTAGTGTGATGGCAGCAATGCTAAGGAGTTCTGCACCACATTTTTCAGAGGAAGATTCAGGTGTGACTGCTTGGATAAGGAGAGGAAATGGAAGTAGTCTGCCAGTGCCTCCAATTACAGCTTTTTCTTCCTTTCCTCCTCATTCCCCCCCCTGAGAGAGTGTTAATTGTTTTCTTTATGCGTAAAATTTTCTAGGCCTTAAAATTAATGTATTTCTTTTCTGGTGGCCTTTCCAGGATTCCCCAATTAACAAGCTGCTCTATGCCCGTGACATTCCACGCTATAAACAGATGGTGGAAAGGTAAGGAGGAAGATTCAAAGGGAGGTCATATATATTCAAAGAAGGGGGACAGGCAGAGGGCAAGCTGGATGCAGCAATAATAAGAAAGGGCCTTTCTCTTCTGCAGGTACTATGCAGATATTCGCCAAACCATCTCAGCCAGCGATCAAGAGATGAATTCTGCCTTGGCAGAGTTGTCACGGGTGAGAATCCTCCCAGCTGAATCCTCCCAGATGTTGGATAACCATTTGTCTGAAGTGGTGTAGGGTTTTCTGCCTAAGCAGGGGGTTGGACTAGAAGACCTCCAAGGTCCCTTCCAACTCTGCTATTATGTTCCATTCCATTCTATTCCATTCTATCCTATTCAGTGTTGGGTTCTGGCCAGTACGGGCGTACCAATGCCTGCTGGGAGCAGCAGGCACCGTTCCAGTACGGTGCTTCGGAGAGCCCACCCGCCCGCCCGGGTTCCTTACCTGGTTGCGATGGGATCTGGAACCCACCAATGATTCTATTCTATCCTAAGCTACATCCTTCCTTTTTTTGTACACGTTCCCAGCCAAGGCCTTTATCAGGGCCATTCTTAGAAGCAGCATTAGTGTCCCCTGCCACTTGTGATTTTATTACAGGTAGTCCCTGACTTATGACCAGTTACTTAGCGACTCTTCCAAGTTATGACTTACCTCACATGACCACACACTTCAGGCGTTTGGCAACACAGCCGTATTAACCTGTTTGCTGCATCCCACACTTGGCTGCATTTTATGACATATTTGCCCCAAACCGTCACTTAACTTCCGGTTTTTGGCAAAACTACACCTGTAACGAAACATTGGTTCACTTAACCCCCACTGTATTTGTTTAACACTGCAGGGTTTTGTTTTGCAAGCGCCGCATAAAAGAGTTGTAAAATCAAGTGAGCCTGTAGGGAAGGCTGCCCTGTACTGCAATGATTTGTAGCCTGGACTCTCTTTGAAGATCGTTCGACAACTTCAGTTTCTTCAAAACAAAGCTTCAGGGTCGCTCAATGGAATTGGCTGATAAAATCATGTGAAACCAGTGCTTCGCAGATGCTTTGGTGGCCAAGCCATTTCTCCACCTGGTTGGAGATTTCCAACAACCTGAATGGCTGCTGCGGGCAGGGGTAGGGGTAATGGTGAAGGTATCTCTTCTGACCTAGGCTTCACAAAATCACCAAGCAGACTCCTTGTCCCGACAAAACTCCTTTTTTATTAAGCTAATGTGAATTCCCCTCATTCACCTCCAGCACAGTCCTGGCAAACAGTCTTTCAAGGGTGAATTTATAAGCACAGACCTTATCAGGCTTGGAGAGCTGCCAGGCCAATACCTTCCGAACGCAAGAAAATACTTGGCAAGGCGTCTCTGAGAGTCACGAACAAATCTTCACACTAATTAACAGAACTAATTGTCTCCTGCAAACTCCCCTTACCTTTTGCTCCATTTTATTTCCTATGTGAGGGGCCGTTCATCGTCCACCAGTGGCCTTACTCCCAAGTCGACTCCTGTTCTTTAGCTGTTCCCTTCTTCTGGCAACTCTGCACATGCGCACACTGGGAACAGGCTCCAGCTGTTCATCTGCCTCACTGATGTCTGACTCTGAAGACAGCTGATAACTGGCATACGGCTCTGCCCCCCCCCTCTGCCTCCGACACAGAGCCCTCATCAGAGCCTTCCTCAGACTCCAGGACTGGCCCATGTTCCTCCCCAACCTCCTCACTGTCTGAATCTGCTGCCAGCTCCACTGGCTGCTGGTGGGCCACAGCAGTATCTCAAGGAACGTCTCTTCCTTATGAACACGCCCAGGCTGTTTAGTCCTTTTTTGGGTTGTTTTTTTTTGGTTCGCTCCCCATGTGAATAAGTCAAGAGTCTGCAAGGGACAGACTTTTCTTAGACACGGGCCCCATCAGGTTTGCTCACCAAAGTCTTTTTGAATGAAGCTTCTATTCCCCCAGGCATTTTCGCTAGTTTATATGCTCACTTTCATCAAGTACAGCACCTTTGGGGAAACGATTACCTGGATGACTGAGAATCTCCATAAAACTCGGATTAATTCAGATCATCCACAGGCTGCAGGCCTAACTCTGGTTATGCAGCCCTTGCTCGTCCCTTGGCATCTCCAGCTCAAAGGCTCCGATAAGATATGATGAGCTAGGCATGAAATGGAGAAGAGGCGGCCAGTCATCTGCCTTAGTGTAAGGGAGTCTGACTCATTGGCCACCTGGCCTACCCAGCCTGGAACTTGATCTACTGTACTTTGAAACATGGCTTGGTGAGGCTTTTGGCTCCCATAACTAAAAAATAGTTGGTGTCTCTTTGCTTACAGAATTACTCAGGTGAACTCAATTCCTTGGTGGCTCTGCATGAACTCTACAAGTACATCAACAAATACTATGATCAGGTGAGGCTATTTTCCTTCCAGCTTGGGTTTTTGTTTGTTTTGGTTTGTTTTGTGGGGGGAAGGGAGATGTAGAGACCCCACACCCATCGTCCCTATTCTGATTGTGGCGACAAATGGGTGCCAAGAAGATTGTGGCTCTCTTTGGGTGCCCCAGTGGCCAAACCATACCTTCAGATTGCATTCCACCAGGGGTTTTGGGGCATCGGTGACTAAAGAGAAAGCAAGTCCCATCAAGCAATCAGCTTCTTGCGTTCTGTCAAACTGAATTGAATAAACTTAAAACTCCTCTCACTCCATGCCTCAGGCATCTGTTTTCATACTTCTCCTTGGCTTATGAAAGGGTCAGTAAGGAAAGGAGATCTGGGGATCCATTTTGAGCACAGGGAAGAATCCAGTTCTCCAAATCTGAATGAGCACATTGTATAGTTAGAACATCACCATCCAAAAGGCCCCAAATGCTAGCAAGGAAAACAGGTCAGTCAAAGCTTCCGGGATTTGGGAAGGTTTAGATCAGGGGTATCAAACTGGGTTTCTTCGAGGGCCAGATGAGCATTGTAATTCTCTTCCACAGGCCAGCTTGGGGGAGTGGGGGGAGGGATGGAGGCCTCCTGCAACACTGCTGGCCAAAATGGGGCACAAAACACTCCCCTCATGCCCCGATTTGGCCAGCAGGGTGCTGCAGGAGGCCCTGTAGGTCGAAAACGGGGCGTGGGGGCCAGGGGTGGATTCTGGCTGCTGCTACTGCCAGTTCGCTCAGAGATGTGCCGCACGCACGCTTGATGTACACTGTAGGTGCATGCGCAGTGCAACAAAAAATGCTCTGCACATGCGCAGAAGGCAAAATCAAAATGGCGGCACTATAGGAAGCCAGTTCAGGGGCACGGCAGGGCTGGGTCGCTGCCAGTTCCAGTAACCCAGGCGGCCAAGTTACTACCGGTTCAGCTGAACCAGTCCGAACCGGTAGGAACCCACCTCTAGTGGGGGGCATTTTGGCTGTCCAAGGCACTGCCGCCCTGTCCTTTGCTATTTTCAGGCTGGCCCTGAGGGCCAGATTTAAGCCCCTCACAGGCCAGATCCAGCCCACGGGCCTTGAGACTGTCCCACAGGACACATCTCTACAAGCGAGAGAGTCCTTCCTTTGAGGCGTTCCCTCAGACATCCAGGCCTGATGGTGAAGGCGATCCCTGGTTAATAGCTCTGGTTCTGCCCACAGATCATCACAGCCTTGGAGGAAGACCCGATCGCACAGAAAATGCAGCTGGGGTATCGCCTGCAACAGATCGCCGCAGCCGTGGAGAACAAAGTCACAGACTTGTGAGGTGTCCAAGGGACAGTTCGGGTAGAAAGAAAACAGACAGCACCCACCGCCGTCCCAACTGAGGCTCTATGCTGAGGTGGAGAGAAGCAGCAGCAGAAGCAGCAGCAGCAGAGGGTCAGGAAATGCCAAGGGCGAGGAGGTGCCAGAGAACTACTTTTTTTTTAAACAGACTCTTTTTTAAAAAAAAAATAACACTTAAAGTAAAACGATAATAATGAACTTGTGCCCAGAAGCCGAAAGGCTCCATCAGATGAACTGAGCCATTTTCAGCCAGGAGGCCAGATGTTATGAATGTGCCAAGGAGAGTTAGAGAACAGTGCAGCTGTGAGGGATGCTGGATCTTCACACACACACAAACACAGACAGAGAGACAGACACACACACGCCCTGTGAAGAAAGAGGTGGGAACCTGAACTCTCATGGAGCTTCCTATGGACTTTCTTGGATTCCTTAGCGAGAGCATCCTACTGGCTCAACATGGGGAGATTCACCCCTGTCCTCCTTGCTGCGCTTGGGAGTCTCAACACCCAGCGAGACGTACTTTCCTCTGGAATGATGGGGGGCGAGCCAAGACGAACACAACGGACAAAGGATACAGGCAGAGGAAGGAAGATCCATCTCCCAACTGGCAGAAATCCCTGAAAGATTGGGGGGGAAGGGAATCGCCTCCCTTCCTCCCACCTACCCCCTCAAGACGGTCCTGAAGTTCCCTGGGCGTGTGTACCTTCCTGTGGCTGCTGCTTCCGGCCCTTGCCCCGCTCTGCTTTCCTCAAAGCACAAACGACACGACCACCACTGGCCTTGCCTTCCCCGACAATGAACCGGGGGGGGGGCTGCCAATCGCTCTGCAGAGAAGAGGGGAGGCCTGTAGGAGCTTCAAGGTTTTGAGGTCCCTCCCTTGCCCCTTTGGGCTAGCACTTCTTGAGTAAACCCCCTTCCTCCTGAGAGGTTCCTTCTTCCTAGGCACCTGATTCCACCCTTCCTCCCCCTTTAGAGACTTTCCCACCTTTTTTTCAGACGCTTCTCGGAAGGATGACAAAGCTGGGGATTTGCCAGCTTTGATTTTTCTCCTTCACCCTGGCAGGTTTTGCTATTTGTATGCCCATTTGTTGCTATGCTCTCCTCCTCCTCCTCCCCCCCCTCCTCCTGTCTCTTTGAGAGCAGCTAGATTTACAGGCATTGGCAGACAGTAATGTTGATCTCCATGTCGTGACAGGCACCGCCTGCTGATTTTTGTAACTTAATCTGCTATTAAAGAACAGGGGTGGGGGAGCCAAGCAGAGCGCACACACACACACACACACACACACACACACAATTTTCTGGGGCCAGCTTTATTCTGATTAAAATTAAACCTCAGTGATGGGTTGGTGCGTTGCCTAATTGTTCCCCAGTCCTTTCTATTGAGAGATGAGGTGAGCTCACCAGCGCTCTTAATTTCATTTCCTTTGTCTCTCTTTGTCTCTTCTCTTTGTCCATTATCTGTTAGTAACCCAAATCCAGGGGGAAAAGAACCCTTCCGTGCTCCAGTCAGCTATGCTCTGATAGATTGGGATCTTTCCTCATTACTAGTTTAATCCAATACCAGAAATAATTTCATTTTGTCATTCGGTATCACAGGCTTCTTCAGAGCTCTGCAAACCCTCTAGTACAGGGGCGTCAAACTCGATTTCATTGAGGGCTGCATCAGGGTTGCATTTGATCTTGAGGGGGGGGGGAGATGGAGTGGACGTGGGAAGGGTGGGCATGGCCAGCTCGACGCCACTCACGTCGGGGGCATTTGTGGTGGCCTGAGTGCTCTGCCAGAGAAAACGGGCTTCTGAGCTCTGTTTTAGGCTGCTACAGCCTCCTGCAATCCTCTGTCAGTGAAAACAGAGCTTGGGAGGGCTGCATGCAGCCCTCCCGAGCTCCATTTTCGCTGGCAGAGTCAGAATGGGCCAGTCCTTTGCTGTTTCTAGGGCGATCCGCAATCTGTGGGGTGGATCCGGGGGCCCGGGCCTTGAGTTTGACACCCCTGCTCTAGTAGCATTACAATCTTTTGGGTGGGATTGTGCACAGGTGGAAGTGGCAGTCACGCAAATACTCTCAGGTATTTGTAGGTATAGGCAGCAGCAACTAACTTTTATTGCTTTGGTGAGATACACTAATGCCAGCTTTTGAGTTCAACCAGTTTTCAAGAATGTGGCTCAACTTTAAAAAAAAAAAAAAAAAGCAAAACCAACTACATATTGTGTTTGGGGACAAAAGTACGTTGACCGCTTGGGGAGAAAATGAAATGTCACGTAAGAAATATCTAAGCAGCCTACTTATGCCATTATTTAAAATCAGCTACCAGAGAGAGGGATTTGGATGGAATATATGGACACTGCTGGGAGATAGTTAACCATTCTGCCCTGTGCAATTTCCTAAATGAATGCAGCCCTGATATTGTTCTTACCTTGTGGGATTGGAGAAACGCAGACGCTGTCTGAGGCTGATGTATGTTTTCACACTTGTAACCAAACCTTAGTTTCTAGGCAGGGAGATTTAAAGGAGAATCTCACAAGGTAGTAAGGAAAATGAGCCACCATTTCAAGTTTTTCTCTTTCCTAACTATTTTTGAAAGTTTTCCTCTGTGGCTAACTGTTTTTTCAGAAAGAGATTGAACACTACAACCGCATTTAGCTTTTATGTAAATAGGAATTGTATAAAAAGATCCCGTATTGATGGGAATTCATTGGATGCCTCTAACAGCACACAGAAATATCTGTACTTTTTTGTCTCCTGAGTCAAATATCCTTAACAAGACAGGAAGGTGTGAGAAAGGCATGGGATATCCCAAAGATGCTTTTTTCAAGAGGCAACTGGACTTCCTTTGTTTTCCTTGAAGACGTTTCGCTTCTCATCCACGAAGCTTCTTCAGCTCTGAAGTCCAGTTGCCTCTTGAAAAAGCCCCTTTGGGACAACCATGACCTGGATGACTGAGAACCCCCATAGACGAGGCATGGGATTTGTTTGATCTGAGCTGGGAACACTCAAAATGGTGCGGGCTATTTTGAGCGTTCCCAGCTCAGATCAAAATAATCCCGACCTTCTCACGTACCTTCCTCTCCTCCTAATAGATACAGGTCAACCTGCTCTTGAAGCCGAAAGAAATGGAGAAGTTTCACCATCTCCCCCTTTTCTTGGCTGGCCTTTGATGGGTATTTAATAGCAGCCTGAACCACAGATACGGGTAGGTGATAATACTTCAGTTCTTGACCCGCTGATAGCAGCAGAATAATCAGGCTGGACCACAACAGGACTTGTTTAACGAACCAAGGCTGCAGCTGCTCCCCTTTTTACAGCAGCAACTTTGTTTTGGCAGCAAGTCCAAGCATGATACATTAGTAATTTACCTCCAGCAAGGTGTGTGGTTGACTTTGGGGGGGGGGGTGTGTTCCCTATATACAAGTACTGTATTTTTCGGAGTATAACACACACCTTTTCCCCTCAGATAAGAGGCTAAAAATTTGGGTGCATCTTATACACTGAATACAGCATTTTTTTGCCTCCTGAAACCCCGCCCACTTCACCAAAGTTGCCGTTCATAGCCTTATGGAGGCTTTCAGAGAGCTCCTGGGGGCTGGAGAGGGCAGAAATGAGCAAAAAATGGGCCGTTGAACAGGAGCCAGGAACACTCTACAAGCCTCCTAAGGGCTATTCATGCCTTTTTTTTTTAAGGGCCGTTTTGGGAGGTTTGCAGAGTCCTCAACTTAACAACTTTTTGTTTAGGGACTGTTCGGCACTGAAAAAAGTGACTTATGATCATTTTTCACACTTACAACCAGAGTTGGGTTCCTGCCAGTTCTAACCTCTTCTATAGAAGAGGTTCCATAAATCTACCGTGCCGTTTAGAACCAGTTCCAGCTCCCTCCCCCCGCCCGT